CAGGAATATACATAGGTGACAACAAAGTTGTACATTTCACCAGAGGCCAAGGCCAAGAAGTCGGTACAGGCACCGTACTGGATCTTCTCCTCGTGAGCTCTGCCCCAAAACGCAGCGAAATCCCTTGCCCCAACTGCAACTCCCAACTTTCCGATTCCCATGGCGTTGTCTCCTCTTGTCTCGACTGCTTCCTTGCTGGTGGAGTCCTGTACCGCTTCGAGTACTCAGTCAGCCCAGCTCTCTTTCTCGCAAAAGCCCGAGGTGGCACATGCACTCTAGCAGTCTCAGATCCGGACGAAACCGTAATTAAACGCGCTAACCATGTGCTCAGCAGTGGCTTCAGATGCTACAATGTTTTCAAGAACAACTGCGAGGATTTTGCTATTTATTGCAAGACCGGTCTTCTTGTGGCCGAGCGAGGAGTTGTTGGGCAGAGCGGGCAGACTGTATCGATTATTGGTGGGCCCCTCGCAGCGGTTCTTTCGACGCCGCTTCGGCTCCTGACGACAAATGTGTATGGAATGGCGGTGACGGCTGTTGGGGTTTACTGTGCGAGTCGATATGTCGCTGATATTGGGAACAGGAGGGATGTGGTGAAGGTGGAGGTTGAGGATCTGAAGCATCTGCATTGCCTGCAGGCACGTAGGTATTTTGCTTGTACCTTTTTGAAGTATGTACGAGATCTATTATCTTGCATTGAATTTGTCCTGTTGATGTCCTCCACATATCTAAGTGACCATATCTGTTACATGGATGCTATTCTGGTGAGATTTGACCTTTGACCTTTTTGAATGATTTTGCTCTGTGATATGTTGGTCTAGGTTAGCAAATGTGATATATCTTGTTTATATGATATCTGGAATGTTGGTACAGGAATTCGTTTTAGTTCTTCCAGTATATTTTCTTGAAGTTCTATCAGGATGCCAGCTAACAATCTAACCATTTAAGCTAATGGACGGTGCTCGGAGAGTAAAACTATAGGAAGATTTTTGATGGCTTGAGATAATTGGAATTGAATCGTTAATCAATAGAAGCGTCAATTGTTATATAGAGCCATTTATCACCACATGCAGGTGGTTCCTTGAGAAAATATTCGGAGAGAACCTGTATAATACCTCCATGACAAAACGAGGATAACTTTTAGGGTTTTTCTTGGCTTTTTTAAAGAACGAGCACTTTTGAGAAGAAATTTGTCTGCAGTGCAGGGTGGCCCTTATTTGGAACCATGCGTTTGGTGGAACTAAAAATTGCAGTATGCGTGTACGTACACATACAGACACAGACGCGTTCACTTGTGTATTTAGTGTCTATGCACACACATGTATACATGGATACATACTGAACGCGTACCACTGATATCTATATAAAATAAGATTGCTAGTTTTGATTTCCGTTTATTCTTAGTTAGTTGCTTCTGCATTTTGATTACATTCTCTTCTTGTACGGTATTTGGATGGAAATTTGCATTTTGCAAGTGGTCTCAGAGGCTCAGAGCATATAAATGGATTACACCGTTGTCGACAAAACTTTCTTCTGTTTGTGACTCAGTAGGTACTTGATGAAATCATCTAGACGCTTATCTTGCATCTCCATATCGCCAAATGTGTCTCTATACTCTCTCACCTTGGCTCTAAGAGTCTCCCCTTTCTCTTCTACCATGACCAACCTCAAACTTTCAGCAATCCCCTCTCCTGTGAAAGACCCATCCTCCACATTTCTCGGCACTTCCGCAGCAACTCCCCTCTCCACTAGATTCCTAGCATTAAGCCCCTGATCGAACATCAATGGCAGAACCACCATTTTCAGCCCGAACGAAATCCCTTCGACTATAGAACTCCATCCTCCATGTGTCAAGAACCCTCCAATTGACCGATGAGCTAGGATACGAATCTGAGGTACCCAATCAAAGCACACAAAACCTCGGCACTTTGTTCGCTCTTCAAACCCCTCTGGCGCTTTTCCTGCCCTGAATGCCCATAAGAATGGCAATTGGGTGAGTTCTAGTCCTATGGCTATTTGCTCAACTTGTGCACTTGTTAGCTTAGCCTCGCTCCCAAATGCAACATACACAACTGATCCTGCTTCTTGTTGATCCAACCACCTAAAAGTACTCTCCCATTCTTTCTCGTTGCTGTCTTCTTGAATTATAGGAGGAAGCATTCCAACAGGAACAATGTCCTTGTGGAATAGCTCTCCTATGAGTTCCAACCATTCTGGTTCAAACTCGATACAGCTTCTGATGGCCAAGAAATCGCACCCTTCTATCGTCAATGCAAACCGATACAGCTCGTTCACGCCTGATGCGTCTTGCTTGATGGCTGGCTCCACCTCTTGTCGAGCCTCGTACTCCTTGTAGGCGATGATGGAAGGGAACGGGACCCACTTGGGCGCCACAGTGTACTCATGCACCGTCGTCCTCTGATCTTCTTTTCCAAGCAGAACCTGGGGTGGCCCCACAAAGCCTAGGGTCGCCGCGTTGAAGGTGCTGAAATAGGCGCACGGCACGCCACATTCAGCAGACACGCTGGGGATCCAATACGCAGCATAATCATATATAATCCAGTCTACAGGAGGATTTGAGTTTTCTTGTAGGAAGTTTAGAACGTTTTGTCGCAAACCGTCGAACGCTTTCTTGAGGTATGGGCGAAGGTCGTCGTATGGGAGGTCAATGGTGACTTCAACACCGGCGGGTAGGTTCTCGGTCGGAGGTAGAGGGAATTGTACCAGGTTTATGAGCGGGGATATGTGTTGGGGGATTTTGGGGAGTCTTTGGATGTTTTTAGGAGTAGAGAGGAAAGAGATCCTGTGACCCTTTTGAGCTATGCGTTTGGAGAGCTCCAAGAATGTTTGGAGGTGGCCTAAGGCCAGCCATGGGAGCATGACTATATGAAGCCTTCCGTTGTTATCCATGGATCTTTTGAGGATTGGAGACTGTGAAGGAATTGATATTAAGAGAGAGGCATATGATTGAATTTATAAGTCGATGCATCTAATTGCTAAGGTCATGGATGATGCATGTTATCTCATTGGGCGGGAAGCAGACAAACAATATCTGAAGTTTAATATAGTTTTTTTTAATGAAATTATTGGTCTCTGACTTGGTCCGGGCATATGCTTGTTTTGACTTCGATGTGTGATTTCTCTTTTATTTATTTATTTTATTATTATTATTATTTATTTATTTATTTATTTATTTATTTTATGTTGATTAGCTGGTACTCCTTCATATGCTGAAGTATGTATATCTCCTAATTTTGGCAGTACGTGAGAGCCTTAGAATGTTCCCAACAGAATTTTGTCATAGGGCATTAATGGTGTTAAGAACCTATTTTGACTATTTTGACATACATTACAAATTAGCGAAAACCTTTTGTTAAATTAAAGATGAATTCGGATGGGCTAAATTACTAAATTGGAATCTTATTTCAATATCATTTACCAATATGGTATTTTAATTAGCTTTTGTCGTATTTTAAGTATTTATACACAAACACTACAGTTATTGGTTCTAAAACTATATAAAGTCTTTTTAAGCTACAGTAAAATTATTTAATATATATAAAATAATACAATTAATCTACCATAAAAGCAGGAGTGTTTAGCAACCGTGGTGTTTTTGCTGTTTCTGTTTTTTTTTAATAAAAATAAAGAAACGCGTTTGGCAATCGGGGTGTTTTTTTGATTTGTCCATTTATAAAATCTAAAAATTAAACACTTTTCTCAAAAGACCAAAAAGTTATTTTGAATTTCCGTTTTTCATTCTAAGCGGCGCAGCCCGCTCCGCCCGTCGCTATGGCCCGCCGGCCACCGCCCACCCGCGTCGTGCCGTCGCCTCCCATCGCCCGCCTGCTTGGCGCCCGTCGCCCCCACCGCCCCCGCTTGTTGCTCCCCGGCCCGCCGTCGGCCGCCTGTCAGCAGGCGCCAGCACCTCCACCGTCCGCCACCACACCGCCATCGTTCGCCGCTCGGTTCGCGCCGAGCCGGCGCGTTCACCCGCCACCTGACCGCCTCCGCCGCCGTCCGCACCCGTCCATCGCTATATAAATGGTCAAATTAATTTGACGAAAATGGTGTTTTTAAAACATATTTAAAAAAGAAACACCATGATATGATGTTTTTTACAAAAACACAAAAAAAACACATTGATTACCAAAAATATAAGTAACTCGGTTAGTACATTTTTTCCCTATGATTTCACTAGGTCCTAGGCTCGATTTCCTCAACCCGTCTCATTTATTTTTTTCACCTTTACTTAACAAACTCTTTTTAACGTGATCCTTTACATCTTTCACATTTTGAAATTAACCCCTCACATCATGAAAGTTGTTATTAAGCCTTACAATTCTTAAGTTACTTAGAAATTGATCTAGGTCCTAGGTTCAATTCCCTCAAAACTTTCCCATTTATTTTTTCCCCTTTACTTAAAAAATTCTTTTCAATATGAGTCCTTTAAATCTTTCATATTTTGAAATTAATCCCTCAATTCATGAAATTTGTTATTAAGCCTTACAATTCTTAAGTTAATTGGAAATTAATCACTCAAATCAGTAAAATTGCTATTAGGCTCCTTAATTTTTTTAAAAAAATATTTTGAAATTATTCTCTTTAATGAAAAATAGAAGCAACAATTAGAAAGATTAATCTAAAAAATATTATGAGATTTAGAGAACTTAATGGCATCTCTATTAAACTTTTTAGTCTTTTGAATCTTTCATGCTTTAAAATTTATCCGTCAAATCATGAAATTTTTATTAAGTTCTACAATTCTTAAGTTAATTAGAAATTGATCTCACAAATTATTAAACTTGATAATAGGTTCCTTAATTCTTAAAAAGTTATTTTGAAAGTACTCCCTTCAATAAAAAGTAGAAGCAACAATTAGAGAGATTAACTTGAGGGACTAAGTTCAAAATAATTTTGGAATTTGGAAACACAATAGCAATTTCAATGATTTTGAAGCCTGTCTACTTTTTTTTAAAAAGTTCAAATTTTTATTTTAACTAATAGACTCAAAATTTACCCCATTTATTTTGAAAATCATGTACTTCAGACTCTTTTTGAAAGTAATCCCTCAAATCATGAAAAGCGCTATCACATCCTGCCAATTCTTAACTTATTTAGAGCTAACCCCTCAAATAATTAAAATTACTATTAGGTTCTTCAGTTCTTAAATTATTTTCAAACGAGTCCCTCTACTAAAGAGTAAGAGTATAAGTAATAACTGGAGTTATTAATTTGAAAAAGATTATGAAAATCATGAGGCCTAATAACAAATTCAATGAGTTGAGGGGTTTATTTGAAAATAACTAATTTATCTATATTATAACTCCCAAAATCATTTTTATCCACAAATTAAAAAAGAGTTTCCTAAGCAAAATACATAACCATTATTTTTTGGCTTCTTTACACAAATTGTGTAAATTTCGCGGCAACGCACGGGACAATTTTGCTCGTTTAAATCTAGAGTTATTCAACATGCAGATACTAATCATCTATTTCAAAAATCCAAAGTCTGAAATTGAACATCCAAATGGATGGCTGTAATCTACAACACATGAATTATATAGAAACAAAATTTTATAGGATTCCAATGTGTTTTGAATCATGTATCTAGAGGTGAAAGTTTAAGCAACTTTGTGAAAATTTTAAAAATATTAATTTGACGACATCTAATACAAGGGATAATGACACTAAAATTAGGTGAAAGTTTATTTCCATATTGTCTATATGTGTTAGATCACATTCGCTGATTGATTTTTTTTATTTTGAACTGAAATTCTAAATCTGTATTGATAATACCATACAGTTTATAGTAGTCTAGCTCAACTTTTAAATCTAAACATCGGTGCGACAGGGCTCGTTTTCTGGCCGCCGGTGAGAAATCGGTGCGAACCCCTCACGTGTTCGCACTCACACGTTTGCACGTAATCTTATTTTGCTTTTTTTATTTGTTAATGTGCAGAGAATTATACTGACCACGAACACTCGAATGTTTGCACGTGATCTTATTTTGCTTTTTTATTTGCTAAGGGGCTGGAAATTACTGACGTGGTCAAGGTGGTTGGGATCCCTTTAATTTGGACGAGCATGTCCAGATGAGGGAGATTTTTGGGCGTGATCTCAACTTAAGTTTAATAGAAGGAAGGAAATCAAGAGAAAATTGATAAGGGGGAACTCAACATTGAGCTCACGTACATGGTCAAGTAGCAGTGATGGAAATTTTCAATTGCAGGTGAGAACGGACAGTGTTTCAACTTTCAATTACTTGACAAGAAAACGAAATAGTTATTAATGAAGCTCCACATATGGTTAACTGGCCGAGTTTTATAAATCTAAAAGCTCGACCCGGGTATGAGCAAAGCTGATCTCTCTAGCTGCCAAAGTCCGAAACAAAAGGCATCTTCAAGTCGGGATCTGCTAGAAGAACCCAAGTCTGAGACAAACGACATTTTTACTTGGACTCTCGCTAAGGAATGTCTCTCTAATGATGAGACAACCTATCAGCTTCAGCAATGTCATATTTCGCTACCTAGTCACCATTTCATTTAATGCATGGCTAGATTCATTATGACTCTTTAGCCCGAAGTCATAATGGCTCATTGGACGACGCCAACACTTCAGCTATTCTATCACTGCCGCATTAAACGCAAATGTGACTCATTCAACTGACTGCCGACATGAGTAAAGTGCGGTTTGATCGGCCGACTACACCGACTCAGTCAAATTACCAACGTGCTCTTACTGACCCTCTATAATTAGTGGGTAATCTCCACTGCCCTAAGGTATGCAAGAATATTGAACGTCCTAAAAATAGATTCAACATTTAGCAAATTTGCTTAATTTTTTACTGGATTTAATGTCAGAGGGCATGTCGGATAAATCATATGCAGCCCTCTAACATGTGTTATATGTGCAGGAATCCGTTTCCTTCTGATTTCTTAGCAAACAAAGAGGATTAAAGGACCCTTTACTCCTCTAAAAATCCAATTATTCATACAATTAACTTTTAAATAGTAGCCAATTCGGATGTCTTTACCGCGAACAGAGAATAAGGTAGGAAACGTTTCTGTGTTAACTTTGTTTAAACCCTGTTATAAAATGGTATAACCTTGTTGTTGAAGAGCGCATGAGCGAAGGCAAAGATTTTGTCCCATAAAACAAAAAAGGAAAAAGGGAGAGAAAAATAAACTGTTGAAAGAGGTAAGGATCATTCTAAATTCTAGTGAAAGCAAAGAACGGGAAAAAAGAGAGGGAAGCAAGAAGAGTAAATGAGAATCTTAAATTGGACCCTACTGCATATATGGGCCTTTGTGCTATTCAGCTTTGGTACTAAACTTCAAATCTCCCCGTTCGCATGGGCCTGCCCTACAAAATTCTATTGGTCTTAGTCTTCCGAAATAATACAAAACTCTTACATGACCCAGAAAATCTATAAAATTCCAAAATTTTCTATTTAGGTCTGAAATTTTACGATTTAGTCGGATTATATTGTAGAAAATAAATTTTTAATACGTTTCATCGTACCCTATATTTAAACGTTAAATAAAGTATACAGAAGTATATAATACATATTAAATTATAGACAGTACCGAGCTTGGGTTTTAATAACCAGCTCTACCAAATATTTAACGTATAGTTTTACAAAATCCCTTCTTTTTTCCCCAGTTAAAAGAAAAAAAAGAAAAATATATAATCCAAAAAAAGGAATGGCTTGAATTTGTATAAACGGAGGGGATTTTTTAGTTGGGCCCAAACCTTGTCCTAGTGCATACAGATAACGGGCCTACTATATTGCTCAAATAGATTTTTTTTTTAATTATATATAATGGGTATGAGGTAGCGGCTTATTTTACTAAATGAGATATCAAGAGATAGTCATATGGTAAGGCCCACCTTACAAGTCACATTAAAAGGTGTGGTTCTCACCACTCTATTTCTTGGTACTTCATCTAACAAAATAAGCCACCATATATATATATATTTAAAGTAGGAGAGAGAATATCACATTGTGAGGATTGTGCCACATCATTTTCAAGGAGAAAATCTCAT